CTCCTTGTTCACTCCCCTGTGCAGACTTTTCTTGGTCAATATCAGTTATATTCTTTTTAAATCCAATACCGTATTTACGACTGGATGCTTTAAGCTCCTACAACCGAATAAGTTCCACAAAAAGGCTTCAACCTTCTAGGGAATCATCGTAACCAAGTCCATAAAAACGGCTACTTATTGCCACTTATCAAACTGTATGTCGGATGTATTTACCACCTACATAACAGGAGAAAGAAGGATTGGGTCATTCGTTTGGTTAGTCTTTGGTGTAAATTCTAATCATATATAATGTTCTCGCATTTGTACGGTATAGAGTAAATTTACAAAATACGTTCCTAAGAAAAACTTGTTAAAAAGCGAAAATCGTTCACATATTTGCAGTCCAGTGTGATTAGTGCGTCAAGAAGACCAATATTAATAGACAGCCTATGTTCCATATGTATTTAAACACAGGACTAAATGCCTATAATAAGGCTGACTATTTCTTGATGGTATGACAGTATATACACATTCGATTCGTGCATTATTAGGCCATATTCAGCATCGCACACAGTGATCTAGATGCTACTGAATGCTAGTATTTTACCAAATACTAACGAGGCTATTTCCTGTCCGTGTGCCACAAATCTAAAACACCAACATTCTCTGGTTGGACATCTGCTTTTGGCAATACACTAAACGATTTAAAGCTATATTATTTTTACAGCCGAAACTCTTTCTATCCCACCAAAACATGTATGATATATCTAATCATTAATGCTAATTCCCTCATTTCATACAATAATACAACGGCAGGTCTGTTAACTTGCAACGTTTTAGCATGTGAAATGCTAGACGCTATGGCACTCAGCAATGAAAGATGCTGTGATAAATGGGCATTTAAAATATTCTACGAATCTCCGCAAGAGAGTTCGTAGACTAGCCTTACGACTTACGTACTTTGAATGCTGATAAGCATTATATGGTTCTTGAGACCAAAACCGGACACTCCATTGCTTTTTCCTGTGATTTCTGGGTGCTTTCACACAGCTGGAAATGCTATCTATGTGCAACATAAAATATGCTACAATATCGCCGACAGAGAAATGGCGGAAAAACTAACAAAGCGGTTTGCACCGGAGAGATGGCCGATTAGCATGTGCCCAAAATAAGTTTAATGCGATAGTAACTGAAAATAGCGAAGCGTTTATAAATTAATTGCTTTCAACCAAGCCCGTTTACGCGAGTCATCCAGACACTCCTGTAATTTGCATTTAATAATGTTATACTATGGAACTAATGCTGAAATTCGTGGCATCTTTGCTTAACAAGAATTGAGGTGGCAAGGTTAACATAAAATCCGTGAAAGTCCATATGTATGTGGCTGTTAAATTACTCGGTGTTGATCACTACACAATGTAATATTCTTTACATCCGTCACAGTCCAAGTATTTGCGGTTAGAGCCGGTTGACCAAAATTTCATAAACATTTGCTGAACGCTGACGTTTCCAGATTAATAGTTTGGGAATTTAAGGAATTAATAAGCTCATGTATTTCGATGCATCCAGTCCAAAGACAACAAGGACAAACAAGACTGACTAATGTTTGTATAGAAATCAATATTTGTATACACACTGCTGAGTTAAAGTAAACAAGACAGAAATCAGACTTTGTCATCCATGCGATAAGGAGATATTCAAGAAGCAAACATATCTACTAAATATCCATTTGCATTCGATTTAAAGTTCCATTTGACAAACTGGGTGTCAGTGATTAGCCTGAGGAAGCAGCTGCTTAAATACACTAATACAAGTACAGTTTTCGTTACAGATTAGCATAGCTGACTAAGTTGGAAACCAACCTAAGTCTCTTTTGGTGGAATACATGTCGCTGCAACCAATGCTCAAATGCTCAGTACGTTCGCACAACCGGATGAAACTGGACTACAACACATAAGCAACAGTGATATAGAGGTATTTCTCTTGGCTCTACGTGCCAAGTCCCCAGATTATTTATTGTCTGGCTGCAAACCATCAAAACTACGGTGCACAAGTAAACTAGTGGTTTCACAACACGTATTCAAGGTTACAGAACCTTTTGAAGTAGGTTTCGCGGTGATTGCTCTAAACGTTATGTCTGTGTAACATGCCAAACAGTAGCTTTCACAAAAGTACAATATAAAATGACACGCCGTATGGCGGAAGTGCATATGATAAGCATATCTTTTGCTCACCGGAATGCCGCGATTAAATAGCTTGAAGTCACTGAGTTTCGTGGAGGTAAGTAATACGTACAGGCTACCGATTTTGCTATACAATTGGCGACTTCAGAGAAGATCATCGCAGTAGTACTGTATCTCCCCAATGAAGTCACGTTCCTTAGATAATGTACGTAAATTATTCAGTCCCTGGTTTTAGAGGTAATGGTTTCTAAGAGGGACTGTGAACAAATCTGCGCTCGTCCAGTTTAAATGCAACCGCTGTTAGCACGAACCGGTCCATCGTACAATAAAAATTACGCTTTTGGAACTAATGGTATTTTGATCCTTTGCTTAATGGTGAAATCACAAAATCATCATTAAGAGTGCAAAAACCTGAGGCATTTACTTTCATTATATGCTTTAAGAATACTAAGGAAGGGCGATATCTTTACAATTGGGACTTCCACGGGCCTCAATTGCCTAAATAGAGGCTAACTATTTGAGGAAATTGCGCTCTGAAATTGCTGTTATTAGAGACTTGTACCGATATCTCATAACACTAGGACGTCAGTAATATATAGTAAAATCGCATGCCATAATACGACCAGCCAATTAATCGAATGAGTGCAAACTTCCTAACTTGATTTCAGACCCTGACTTAGTTTTAAACGATTCTGTTTAACTGCTTTCAAGTGACAGGTTGGCTTTACATAATTGACGTTCGCATGAACCAACCTGCTTTTACAAGATGATACAACAAATTTTCAATTTTCCTATAGTAAATTTTCGGTATCTTGTTATTTCATAAAATGCAGGTTTTTTATATATATTCCGTAGATGTTATAATCCTAATATAATAATAGGTATAATTCTCATCAAATTATTAGCTCTGTTCCTAATTTTCACAGATTTTAGATGTGCAGGTTATCTCCTGCCCTTGTTGGACAATATAAAAATATGTTCTTATATTCCCTTCAATGTATTTTCTTCAAGGTAACTGCTGCAAGTGTTTGTGTTTTATGCTAAGGTACGAGGTACTTTTGTAGTCAAGGTATATTGCAAACACTAAAGAGGGATTACATAACGTAATATTGTTGTGTTGCACTCAGTAAATGCTGTCTGGCCCTTCATTTAGTAGCTTGTCAAGTAATGCTTCTCACGAACAAATTGACATTATGATGTCCTGGTTGAACTAACCTCCCAGCTTACTGTGAAATGATTGCAGTATCACACCATCTGACTGTGATTGGGAGCCGAGTTCACAAGGAAGCGTATCGAGTTAAACAGAATGTGAACCGCAAATGTTTGTTGCCCTGTTGTATAACCATGATGGTTGGCGGCATCCGGTTTCGGATTTGCCTGTCACTGTGGCAAGCCACAGGACGCCTGCGCCTACAGAGGGACCATGGATGGCTTGCGCTGCACCACCCACAGCTCCAACCACATACCCCATATCCAGTGTAAACCCGAAGGAATAAGACCGGGAGGCATGCGGATGGGAACCACGTTTCATCAACGGAGCCGGCCCACACTCCTTCACAGGCAAACACAAGCACGCTGTATTTGGGGAATCAAGCCGCACACAAGGCGGTGGCTGGACCGTAGTCCGCTCCACACTGAGTGCATGGAACCGCTCTTTGAGCCTAGCACGGCCACAAGAACCGTGCACCCCGTCCCCTCCAGCAACGACCAACTGTCTCCTGGAGCCAGTATGAACGATGTAGTGGGTAATAGACAGGTAGGCACCTTGTCAACATACACATCAAGCGCAACCATACCAGGGATATCAAACAACAGCCATTCACTTTAAACGACAAGCTGAAATAAAATAAATCCAATAATGCATACAGATACGGTGGCATAACTCTTCGCTAAATTACCATATGAAGTAAGTTGGTTAGCAACAAATCCGTGATAAGTAAGAAATGTCCACAAGTTACTTAAAATGCTACAAACGCAACAAAATTACCGAAGATAAGCGCAATTAGTGTAAGCAACGTGGCCAGTTAATAGAACATTATACAGGGAGGCAGAACAAATCAAATAAAGCGGAATGAAATTTAGCCAGCTTAAAAGGACCTAGTTTAAGTGTAAGTTGGTTTAGCCCAACTGCGGTGAAGAAGCATCAAGAATGCAACAGCAGCCTCAGCATGATAAACTCCTTGTTACCTATGTCCCGGGGGGAAGAGTAGGTAGATTGCAATATGCATTACCATGAATCCGATTGTACAATACCACCCCGCTGTACTTCAGTCTTCGCAGCCAAAGCGGATTAAAATTGATTTATTTGTACGGCTCTCGATAATACTTAGTAGAATATTTGTTTAGTTGGTGTTTAGCTCTTGGCCGTTGAATGTAATCTATGCTATTCTGTCAGATTGACTCACGTTTCCACGGATTATACTTCAATACTTCAGGATGGGACGAGTGGGTATTTTAAAAATTTCAACACTGGCTGAGGTTGTATAAACCTTATGAGATATATTAGCCACGGACTTCCTGACTCTTACTACCTGATACACAAACCGCTTAGGAAAGTCGCGCATAGACTGTTTTACACAAATGCATTCGGTGTTAATTGTGAGAGACGCCTCGGGTATCCAACACCGAGACAAGTGATACGCAACATTTGTGCTGAGAAATTCAAGACACTTGATACACCGTGTCTCAAGTGAAAGAATGCCATCTTGGATGAATATTAGTAAATTCTGTAGGTCAATTCATTGGAAATTATTGACAATTTGTTAACAAATATTGCAAGGGAACACCTGAGACGATGACGACGAGGATGCGGAGAGAAAGATGTGCTGGGTGCATTGGATGCACAACGTTCCCGAAGTGACTATTCTACCGGATGTGCGTTATTCCGATATCATTGTGCTCACCGTGGATACGGTGCGTTGTGGACATCTGATTGAAATGCTTTTGCTGGCGAAAAAACCTGTTATCTGTATTGGCCCCACCGGGACGGGAAAAACGATGACAATTATGCACAAGCTCACACGTAACATGCCAAAAGAATACTTATCAGATTGCCTTGTCTTCAGTGCGAAAACCACCGCACGCCAGACTCAAGAGCTGATCGATAGCAAGCTGGACAAACGGCGAAAGCAAGTGCACGGGCCGCCGATGGGCCGGTTTCTGGTGTTTTTCATTGATGATCTGAACATGCCTGCTCTTGAGGTCTTCGGCGCTCAGCCCCCAATCGAGCTGATTCGTCAGTGGATGGACTTCGGTGGATGGTACGACTCGAAGAACATCGGAGAGTTCCGCAAGCTTGTTGATATGAACTTTATCGGTGCCATGGGTCCACCAGGTGGTGGACGCAACCCTTTTACGCCGCGCCTAACGAGACACATTAACTTTTTGGCTTCCAATGAACTGGATGAACAAAGTATGCGAACAATCTTCGGTGTGGTGCTCAAATCATGGCTGTCTCGACCAGGCTCAGACAAACCTGCCGCACAGCTCCTGCAGCACGCGGATGCTCTTGTACAAGCTTCCATCCAAGTATACACAACGATTCCATCGCAACTTCTACCAACCCCGGCCAAGAGTCACTACACCTTTAACATGCGAGACTTGTCAAAGGTGTTCCAAGGCATGCTAATGGTAGAACCTGGCAGTTTGACTGGTAGTCTGGAGCAGCTGCTTCGTTTGTGGTTCCATGAGTCGTCTCGAGTGTTCCAAGATCGCCTTGTCAACGAGGCGGACCGTGGCTTGTTCCGTGATTTGATCAGCACCAAATCCAAGGAGACAATCCAACTTACCATAACTGATTACGTTAAGTCTGAACCACTGCTGTACGGTGATTTCTTAACCGCTGCTGCAAGTGATGTGTGGAAATACATCGAAATGACAGATCACTCGCAGGTGCTGCAAGTGATGGAAGAAAATCTGGAAGATTACAACCAAGTCAGCACGGCCAAAATGAATCTGGTTCTCTTCATGTACGCGATAGAACACATTTGCCGCATCGCGCGTATCATTCGACAACATCAGGGCAACGCTCTTCTGTTGGGCATGAGCGGCAGTGGTCGCCAGAGCCTGACTCGATTGGCAGCACACATGGCCGAGTACGAGTGCTTCCAGATCGAATTGTCCAAAACCTATGGGTTTACAGAGTGGCGCGAAGATTTGAAGAAGATTATGCTCACTGCTGGTATAGATGACAATCCAGTGATCTTCTTATTCTCGGACACTCAGATCAAATCGGAATCATTCCTGGAAGACATCAACAACATTCTGAATGCTGGTGATGTGCCCACTATTTACAGTCTCGACGATCTTGACAAAAGCTATGACGCCATGAAGTTAATAGTCAGTGAGCGAGGATTACGACCAACAAAAACCAATCTATTCAACTGTTACACTAAGAGAGTTCGTGACAACCTCCACACCGTAATCACCATGAGCCCCGCTTGGTGAGGTATTCCGTGCTCGTCTGCGACAATTCCCTGCGCTAGTCAATTGCTGCGCAATCGACTGGTTTAGTGAATGGCCTTCAGAGGCACTGGAGTCTGTTGCACTCCGTATACTGCGGCAAATGACCGATTTGGATGTGCATGAAAGTGTGCTTGAAGCGTTGGTGAAGACGTGCATCGATTTGCATCAATCTGTGATGCATTACACCGAGCTTATGAAACAAGAGTTGAACCGACACAATTACGTCACTCCGACCAGTTTCTTAGAATTGTTAGGCGTGTTTTCCAAAATCTACGGAATGAAGAAGCAAGAAGTGATCGCCGCTCGAAACAGAACGAAAACCGGTTTGGACAAACTTTTTCCACCGAGGAAGTGATCTCAAAGTTGCAAGAAGAGCTGGAGGTGATGAAATCAGAGCTGGAGAAAGCTGTGGAAGAATCCAAAGTGATCGTAGAAGAGATAGCGCGTGATTCCAAGATTGCCGAAGAGACACAGAAAGTGATGTTGTATGAGGAGCAACAAGCAACGAAGAAAGCCTAATAATGCGAAATAATACGTGATGATGCTCAACGCGATCTGGACGAAGCGATGCCCGCTTTGTAAGAATCTCTAGAGGCCTTGAAGGCATTGAATAAAAACGATATCACGGAGGTACGTGCCATGATGAGACCTCCGGAAGGTGTGCGTCTCGTCATTGAGACAGTTGGTATCTTGAAAGATGTGAAACCAAAGAAAGTGGCTGGCGATAAGCCGGGTGTCAAGTTTGACGACTACTGGGAACCAGGAAAAACACTGCTCCAAGATCCAGGCAAATTTTTAGACTCTGTACTCAAATTCTACAGAGATAACATTCCGGACTGCATTATTAGCAAAATTAAACCCTGTATAGAGTCTGAAAGCTTCACACCAACGGCGATTTCAAACGTCAGTAAGGCCTGTACAAGTATATGTCTTTGGGTCCACGCTATGTACAAATACCATCATGTTGCGAAGAACGTGGCTCCCAAACGTCAGGCTCTGCATGCCTCCGAGCTGGAGCTCGAAGAGACGGAGAAAATATTGCAGGAAGCACGAAATCGCCTGGTGGCTTGCGAAGAGCGTATTGCCAGTCTACAAAGCAAATACGATGAATGTATTCGCCGTCAGCGTGAGTTGGAGGAAAAGAGTCAGTTGTGCGAAGCCCGACTGGTTCGTGCGGACAAGTTAATTGGGGGACTAGGCAGTGAAAAACTGCGATGGCAAGAAGCGGTGGTCAAGTTTGATCATTTACCGCAAAATCTTGTGGGAAATGCGTTGTGCTCAGCCGGTACTGTGGCTTACCTCGGACCGTTCCCCGGCACATATCGCGTAGAAATGTCTCGTGAATGGGTTTCAAAGCTGCAAGCCAACGGGGTAACCTATACAACCGACCCAGCTCCAACCTTGGTTCAGAATGCTATGTTTGGTAACCAAACTGATGTCGTTAATATGAAGCAGAGAAAGAAATAGACCGACCACACTGTCTTGTACATCCACGCTGGTAATTGAAGGCGGCGAAGAGGGATGGTCCTGTAATGTGACTATTTAAGAGTGACCGTTCATTTATGAATATAACCAACAGAGTCGGGTGTCCTGGACTCCAATGAAAGCAATGTTTATCAGTACCCATCCGTGAGGCACCCAAACAGGAGCTGTCTGCAAGTCAGTAATAGAATTGACATCGCACTTTTTGATTCATTTTATTCTAATATGTGGTTCAAATCATAAAGCTAGAAGATTGTGCTCGATTGCTTGTATAGTAAAAGCAAGACTTGTCTGTCAACTGCAGTGAGTTGATGAAATTCATCACAACATTTTTAAACCATTTTTCGGTTAATCTGAAGAATGGAGGGGTGTGACAGATGGATCTGTGGCTCCCAATCTACCGTTTTTAGCAGCCCTTGTTTCAAAGCATGATAAACAAAGATTTCCCTTTATCTATAAAGCGGATTGCTCAAAGTGAATTAGTAAAATAATGCAAAAGGAGCGACGACATATCTGGCTGTCCCAATTTTATGGTGGAGGCGGGTGAATTCATCAGCTTCCAAATTGGAGGGCGGTTTAATAAAATTAATTGCATAGTAGATATTGCGAAGATAAAAAGCATTTCTAAACCGAGCCTTAGTCATTGATATAACAGCGTATTTATATGGTCAGTCTCCAGGTTAATGGATGGTGGGAAATAACGCGCTAACTGATTCACAGATGACGACTGGGTCTTGGAATGAGTGGCTTTTCTTGTCTGTCAATGCAGTGCTCAATGAAAAGCGGTGTTTGGTCCTTCGATTGAGACTTTTGACAAGATTTTTTGCTTTAGTAATGGGTTGATTTTGGACTACACCTTTTGTGACTGGATTGCGACACGGGTTTGGGGTCTGCTACCTTTACCTTAGAAGAGGAAATAACATGGAAATGCGTTTTGGTTTTACAGTGTTTTCGGTCGGGCAGCACCTGATTTTCATCCTTTTTGCTTTAGATATCATTCCTATTCCTGTTTTTTCTTTCTGAGTTCTCCGCATTCATTGCGTCTGCTTGACTCCAACAATGAATCGGTGCATTTGCAGGATAATTTCACACTTGCCTGCTTGTTTGTGGCGTGTGACCATTTTTCTAAATTTCTGAATGAGTAAACGTTCGGTAGTAACTTTTTGGTCATAACTGATGCGCTTTACTTGTAGAGCTCAGGGAGCTAAAGGTTACTGAACCTAATTATATAGGTGCTCCGTTTATCACAGTCAACATTTCTAACCTGCTATATTCGTGGCCGTTTAACATTCGGTATGTGCAATATTAGCTCGTGTTTAGATCACAAACGAATTGTTTCCCTTTATTTTTATGATTAATGTGCGTTCGTTAGTCTTCATTATGTGCAAACCGTTTGGTTCTCAAGTGGTTTAAATCAGCTTTATTGAACTTCTCTCATGTCATTTATTTCAGGAACCTGCGACATATGGTAACTCATTTCCTCGAACTTACCTTTATCTTGGATTTTTACGATATTTGACTTCCTTTGCCCACAGGCGTAATCCGATTTAAAAAATATCAATAGGCACGCTCAGATAAAGTTTATGTGGGTGAATCCGATTCCGACGAGTGTTAATGTATGCGTGCATTTAAACAAGATCTGGCACATTACTCTGATGCTCACACACGTTTATTACATACCTTATACTTTTGGCTCCTATCTACAGATTAATCTACAAAAGCAAATGTGATGTGAATGTTGAATTGTTCCTTGTTTCGCAGTATGCACATTTGTAATTGTACGTGCCCACGAGAGAACTTACAATGCCGGAGCAACAAGAGGTGGCGTGAATAATTACTGGATAATCCGCGGCAGTGAATGCCAAACTTTGTGATAAGAAAGGGTAGATACAAGTTTTCTCCAAGTATCGAAGCAGAGGATTTGAATTCGACTGAAGCTTGTTTCAATCTAAGCCGACGGATTAAATAACCAAAGCAGTTTTTAACCTAATTTGAGCGTTCTGTCAGCAACACAAGCTTACGTTGCATGCTCGTTTGTGTCAGTTTTCCAGATACAATGCCCCCCAGTGGAGAGGTTTTAGGCTATGTTAAATCCCTAAATTGTGACGATGCGAAAGAGACTTAGATTATAAATTCTATCACATTTGCTTTAGTCTGCAGAATGAAAAGTAATCAAACCTGCGCTATTAGAGTAAAATTTGACAGGAAGTAAGCGAGGGCAGATAATACCAGTAACATTAATATGTGGTCTCCGTGTTAGTAAAATCCTTTCCTTGAATAGTAATGGCAGAGAGAGTATGAGGTCGTTTCTTGCTGAAGCCGAGTTATCCCCACTTCTGCCGGATTCTTATAGAGCGAGGCGGTATTATGTTACGTGTTGCATGTGTAAACTGTTATCAAATCGAGAGTAGTCTAAAACGGACTAGCTTGCGAATGATCGCAGACGGAGTATTTGCACCTGGATTTTGCGGATTTTTTATATCTCCCCCGATACAACAAAATTATTATCTGAATTATGTTTTGTATTAGACATATTTCTGTTCTTGTAGCCAAAATCCGCATATATACTCTTTGGTACAATAGAAATCCGGCTAGCTATTGCAGAATCATCTTTCCGAAATTGCATCAGTGATTCTGAACTCAGGTGCGACAAATGTAGTGAATCAACATTTAACTGGTTTGCCAAATTTTTATGTGAAAGTCATGCTCTGTTGTCATACGCCTCCATAATTGGCTACCGAAATTTATCACTGGCAATGCAGTAATCGCTTCGCAGATATTCGGCTATATCGCCCAGTTTGCGAATCCGACGATGTAAGGCTAACGCCATGCACAAGAAAAACAGAAAGGAAGTGACCTTGGAAAGGTAAAGTATATGCCGCAACACCGCCAAAACACGGTATAAAAGCGTTAGATATTAGCAATGTACGTTGGTCCTATATTGACCATTGTCTTCGGGAATACCGGGCCGTTAAAATTAATAGTTCAACACGGATCCAACCAACAAGTACAGGCTTGTAAAATGCCAGAATTGCGAAGACTTTTCCACTATCAATATCAATCCATTAGTTACTGAAATAATGGTTCTATCTAAAAATTCAAATAAAATGAGGAAACTCTAAATGCTGGTACGACGACTGTGCCGTATAGCAATTGCCAGATATGGTCTTGTGGCCTCCTGTTCGGTCTTATTTATCTGCGGCTGGATCACCTAAGATGAGCTGCGACTGCATACGATTTATCCTATTTACCACACTGTCATCCTAAATACTTTCATAAGTTACTTAAAATGGTCAAATACATGTCGAACGTGTTTTAAGATGCATGGAATCGTCCAGGAAAATTCTCGTTTCGTATGTTTCTTGTAATTGTTTATGTGTCTTTATCTTTCAATCTACGACATATCGGGCGTACAGAAATGTCACATATGTATTCAGTACGGTTCAAATTCAAAGCTTCTTAATTCTTGCGTTGCTATCACCATAAACCTTTTCGAACCAGCTAATATCCAGAACTTAAAAACAGTTAAGTAGTTAAACACCCATTTGGTCGAGGCTCAAACAAAGGAGCTAGGATAGAACAGAGTTATTCGTGTTTACCACGCACATATGTATTTGCGGGTAGATTATTTAACTAACACATGCGGGGTAGGGAGCAGAAAACCAGGGGTATTTACAATCGTTGAATAAGCAATAATTCAAACTCTTTACTAAAGCATAAAGCGCACAAAAACATGATAAATTGAAGTCAACCAGCGGACTCTAACGAACAGGCATCTGGAAATCTCATTTTGGTCGACGATTCAGAGCAGGCGTCGAGTATGCTGAAAGTAAATTATTGCACTGTCAACATGGGGTTTAGCGCAAATAGAGCGGTATGAATTTTGTTTCCAAGGAGGATTTAATTGATTCAGGAAGATTGATTGAGGAAGAGGCTTTGCATGGAAAACCTAGTTGATAGCTGGATTACGGGCAGCCTACGTGCAGCCAAGTAAAACAGACCCATGTGAATTTCAAGTTATGAGCAGGGTTATTACAAGTGGGACTTAGGGACCTATCACGGTTATGATATTTTAGCATTGCCTTCAAGTACAGTTTGTGTTCTTATCCGATTTCGGTTAACCATTTCCTACTTGTTCAGGGATACCACCGGATTTACACACTTCGGTTCTTAGAAGCTTTCCTAATTGCCTTCCTTAAGTGGCAATTGCAAACTTAGCGTATAATTTCCGCCAACAACACCTTCTATAAAACTTATCTAGCGATGTTATAAAATCTTTCTAGTATTCAAATCTCGCACATCCTGATGCTGAATGTAAGCACATTTACCCATCGCGCTTGAGTTAATGGGAACTCGTGAGTGCAGATTGATTCTGCGGTAGCCGGTTTCGGGCAGTTGTCAAGTTGAACAATGTATTTGTTTAACCACAACAAAAGCATGTATAACATTCACGCAGGAAATGTTTAATCTGGGCATCGATGCTCTCAAATGCAAGATACTCATAAGTAAGATTAGCAGCTCTGATAATTAGCTGTTTTGTATATAGTCCTAGGTCAGTTTCAGTAGGATACTAATGCGTTTTGTGATCGTGTCCTGTTACAGTACCAGCGTTAAATTCGCCTACCTCAACACATGTTATCATGCGAAAACTAGTAATTCGGTATCAACGAGTATCTAGCACAAATGTTTGTATTGTGCTTTGACGCGTTACCATTCTAGCGGAGGTAAAAGCTACATATTTATCTTTTTGAAGAAAACTGATTGGCTAACTGAACGCTGCTTGGTTTAAACTGGACGAGGAAAAGGTTAATAGGAACGCTTAGATTACGGCGAATAACCGATTGTTGACTGTTGTGTGCCATACTAGCTCTTATGCTCACAGCTCCATGAACGATGAAACTTATGCTACTTGAGTCTCTCCAGCAATGACCTTGCTGTTTGCATCATTTCACAACACTATGGTTGCTTTTCCCAGCGTTACTCTTGATAAGAATCAGTAACCACGAATTACTAGCTTGTATCTTGAAACAAATCTTGATAATATATAGGTGTAAAATGCATTTAGTTGAGGATCTAAATAATTACTAAGAACCAAAATATGTAAGCGCTGACAATGTATACCTTCCAGTAAAACGTCATACACGTTTCCGTTGTCCTAAGAGGGATCACCCGCCATTGACCACCCACTATTATAACAAATTACACTTAGTTTATTTCTCATGAGAAGCTGCACGCTACCTTGCACTTCCATGTACGTTCTAGGCGATTCTGTTACCAGTAACGTGGGTAGCATATTACCATTGGCTCGGCAAGTATGTCAGCCATCTGGAATGTGGAAATAAAAAAGGCAAATAAGAAAGAAATAGTTGTACTGCATCAGTTACATGTTAGTAAATTGCAAACAGCGTTCAGATAATGTTGCAGGTTCAAAAGCAGAGACCATATCAGAACCGTTATTTTATCATACAGATCTCCATCCATCACAATAAAGCTGGACCTTACAGTGGTGCCATGGTTTATAAGCGTCAGCAATCCATTGAGCTATGCTGGTTGGTGTTTTTGCACCTTCAGAGTCAATCATACCAGATTGGTCAATGGTTAGAGGCCAGACAAACTCAACCTCCTGGTCCACCAGGTTGCGGATTGGAATGAGGGTAGCACCTTATTCCTTAAAACGGATTCCTCGTAGCCCAACGTCAAACCCGCTGCTTCGCGGTCAGGTTTCTTAACCAAAGGCTTTGGTTGAAAAGCCTAATAATTCTCCTGTGTAGGCCTGGGCAATCTGACAGTACCCTGCCCATGCAATACAATTAATATATCTCTAAACAAATTTCCGAATCTCTGGCTGTCGCAGAGGATAGTTAACGGTGCCTTATCTGCTGCATCGAGCAGAGTGGACAGGTTTTGGATATTACTGCTCAAGCCTTTCCGTTTTCTTATTCCCCTCTTACGATTTTTCACTCTTACCGTCCCCTTCCAACTTCACTTTTATCCCCCTTGTTTCCAACCCTTCGATACTTGGACCTCCCCAACATGCTTTGCTAGGCATTTATCTTCTAATTTCCACTCACATATGAACGCGAAGCGTTACTCTTATCCTGTAACAAGCCTATGTACAAGTAAGCGGCCAAGCCCAGTACATCGGCTTCGATATTGAGCTCTCAATCCTCCTTCAGATTGGCATGCCTCAACGCACGCAAATTACTACAGATCGGTCAACAGGCAGGACTTGCCGAACATTGGACACCCTCTTGATTGATATTTGCTGCCTATCGGATACCCGCGTGTAAGCCTCTAGTTCTGTGCTCACACTGCCATCCGCTTCACGTTACGCAAGCAGTATTTTCTCATTTGGCCTATTCGGTGACAATGCAGCTTCGAGCGCCGGCCAAGCTGGTGTAGGCATTTTTCGGAGTCCCCAGGCTGAAGCTGCCCTGGTGGATTGGATTCCAATCAGTAGCCGGATATGCGCGGTCAGATCGGCTGGCTCGTTTAAATCTTCGAAGTCGCGCAGGACTAATAGGTGTCTATTCATCATCACTGCCTACGCA